CGATTCGTCGCTGGTGTTTGGTGCGGCGGATCTCCAGCACTGGTACCCGTCTACGTGGGTGAAATTGCTGAACCGCGGGTCCGTGGGATTGCTAGCGCTTTTAGCATGGTTTGTAATGTTAATTATTACGTCATATACCGACGGCCTTAATGCGAAACCACGTACCAGTGGCGTGGCGTGCTTTGCGAGATATCGATTGTCATGCCATTTAAACCTATGGAAAAGGGTCGATAGACAGGGTGTTCGGAGCGAACACCATAATAATCGATTCTTTGCCATAGGTTTAAATGGCAGAACAATCGATACATCGCAATTCACGCCACGCCACTGCCACGTACCTCCGTTTACGACGTTGCACACTTTCTTCCGTACTTTATTTTTTCTTTGGAAGCTAGTCAACGTAATTCCTTGAAAACTGCCTTGAGTTTTCTTCTGTGATAGCAGGATATTCGGCATAAATTGCAAGCTATGAAGTTGGCTTGTTCGTCTTCGAAAAAATTTAAAATAGGAGGAAATTTGTAAAACACCGCAATGGAGATACTTGATTCCACAATGTTGCAATTAATGAGCTCTTTAATTTCACGTTTCAACTTTCAATGCGCCTTTCGATCAGAAAATCAGGGATACGTGATTGTAAGCACAACGGTGAAAGATGCTGAAAAATATTGAAACTGACGTAGTAATATCACTGTATAGAGGAGTCATCTATTAACATTCATCCAGTTCTCAAAGTATATCAATGATGGGGCCCCGAACCACTTTCTGAGCTCAAATTGGACTACGCTTTGCAATTAGGAACTACAATTTCTGGCACATTTTAGAGACCACATACGTGCCATTAGTTTTCCTTTGCATATAGGGGTTTTTATGGATATTAAAGTCTAGTACCTTATTGCAAAATGCAGTCCAATTCTGTGGTCTACTCAGTCCTTTGGACAACATGTTCATTCTAAAAGCCACAAATAATCTGCACTGTGATAAATTCAATCAAGGAGTCTATCTACGTAAATGAGTCCATTACTGATGATGACATCTTCCTTGGAAATACGTGGAGAATAAAAACCAAAGCAACCAATTAGCAGTGGTCTCTTCCACCTAGATCTAGATTCATAACTTAATTATGCGCATGTACGCGACAATACCGTGGAGTTCAAATGAGATATACACTCAATTAATAAAACTAAGACCAAATAGTAAGAAATCGACAAAATTAGTATATTCTATTAGTCTGATTCTTATCTTGTTTCTGATAGATGAACGGATACGCAGGCGCTATCTTCATTTACATCATCGGACCGTATGTATCGATACCGACGATGGCCGTAATCGGAGGGGCCTTTCCAGTGATCTACTTCCTCCTTTTCTCACTCTGTCCCGAATCGCCCTACTTCTACATTCTGCGAGGGCGCCACGACGCGGCGGGAGGGGCGCTGGCTTGGCTCAGAGCAGGGGCGCCTATCAAAAGTGAGCTGGCCATCATCCGAGCGTCCATCGAGAGAGAGACTCAATATAAGCAGAGCTACCTGACCAAGTTATTGAGCTTCATCACCGCGCCGCACAACCGAAGAGCTTTCTTCATGGTTGGGGTCATAAATTTTATGCAAAAGTAAGTTTTAGTTATTATGATATTGTTTAATTGTGGTGTGTGAACAGAATGAAGGAAGGAATGCTGCCAAAAAGATGCTGCTCCTAGGAGGAGAAGGCGGGGGCACCCGGAGAGAGAAGGGGGTGGCGACACAGGGTTGAATAAGACAGAATTGTCCGCTTCCGAAACGGGTTCGGGGAGGATAGGTGTCTGTGGCTGTCAGAAGTCGCAGAGTGGCAAAGAGCACTGCAAAACCGGATCTAATGTATGTGGATGTTCCATTCCTCTACTTAAGAGGAATGATGGGGTAAACTCTTTTCTTGTACCGAATACAATCATTTAGTAGGGCGTAATGGCGTAGTGACAACAGAAATTACACTCATCTCGCACTTTTTACGATGAGCTTTGATCAACTCATTCGTACTATTTTGCTTGTTCTCCTGATCATTTCATTTTCCAATTATCACTTCCTGCTTTCTTCACTGAAAAAATCTTTCCAAATCTAAAGAACATTATTTTTTCGAGAAAGTGTGACGACCTAAGACACTGATATAATTGATGGATTTTTTTCAACTCGGGATCTAAATTTTAGATATTTTTCGGATAGTGGATTAACGGAAAAGTAGACCTAAGTATAGTTGGCTGACTAAGCGGGAATTAGGTATAATCGTTCCATTGTTCTTCTCTGGAGAAAAGACGCAGTGTTAGAAGAGGAAAATCTTACACTAACCATTTTTTTACCTTTTTTTCGGAGTAAGGATGTATTCACTAAAAACATACCTGTTTATGGAGTTATCTCTTCGCAATTTTTCCTCAAGCCTTTTTCCCTCTAAGAAATGTTAGATCGTAAACCTTTGCCGAATTTTCCTGCATTTTTTCCAAGACTTTTCCTACGATCCTAAGATAGCGACAATACTGAACTCGATAGCCTAATTAATAAATCCCAATTTTTCAGATTTTGCGGCTTGAGCTGCTTGACCGTCTTCTCAACGGTCATCCTCCCAGAGCAAATTGGCCCCCTAACATCCGACCATTGCACGCTGATACTGGGCATCACTTGGCTACTTGCATCCATAGGTTGCATTGCCCTCATCGACAAGGTGGGCAGGAAGCCCCTCCTCTACCTTTCAAGTATAGGCATATCCCTATCCATGCTCCCGACCGCTGCCTGGTACTACTTCGACAGAGAGACCTCCACTGACGTCACAGAGGTCAACTGGGTCCCCTTCGCCGGGTTCCTGGGGTTCGCCATTACTTTGTCCCTGGGGTTAGGCACCATTGCGCCGGCATACAAAGGCGAAATGTTCCCGAGCAATCTCAAAGGCCAAGCTTCTGCTCTTACGAGTATGATCATATGTGTCGCGGCGACCATCAGTACGGCCTTGTTTCCGATTCTGACGTCGAGCGTTGGGCTCTACGCTAATTTCCTACTGTTCGCTTTGACAGGGCCGGTAAATTTTGTCTTTACGTACTATTGTGTGATTGAGACCAAAGGTAAAACTTTGCAGATGATACAGGCGGAGTTAAATGGCGAAACGCTGGAAAAAATTTAGGGTCTATGGTCATATTGCCCAAGTGTTACATTAAAATGCACTGATGGCAATTGGCTGATTAATTGAATTTAAATTTGGTCGTCAAAAAAGGAGTGATAGCTTACGGGTTAGTTTTTGAAAGAGTCCCTTTATACTTAGAGGAAAAACAATACGAGTCCATTTCTGATGGTATCCCGTATTTTAGGCCTCGATGATGTCACAAACGGGAGTGAAGATAACATTTCCACCAATTGCAAAGATTATAAACTGGAATAGACTGGGGAATGGAGATGTTGCATGTGTGAGGAATTTGCAATTTGACTGTTGATTCTTATGTAAAAGTTCGCGAGAAACACGATGGTGCCACTGGTTTTCTCTGAAATCAACTCCCAAACTCAAAAAAAGCTCTCAAGTTGGGGCCAAAATGGAGGGGATATCCCGTGCTATCCTGAGAGTCCACCTCTACATCAAGACAAACTATCCATGCAAAGATAGGGAGCAAATACATCGACAGGGCTGCCACTTTATTTGGGGACTCCAAAACTGAAAACACGGCAACCCTGCTAATGTTTCTGCTGTTAATGTTTTGTAATGTTATCTTTGCATGGAGAGTTGGTCTTGATGTACAGGTGGACTCTCGGGATAGCGTGGGATATCCCCTCCATTTTGGCCCCATCTTGAGAGTTTGTTTTGAGTTTGGGAGTTGATTTCAGAGGAAACCAGTGGCACCATCGTGTTTCTAGCCAACTTTTGCATAAGAATCAACAGTCAAATCGCAAATTCCTCACACATGCAACATCTCCATTTATTACCGAATGATTTGAACTACACCTTATTTTATCTCGCACGAAACAGGGCATATGTACGTAAAAAGTAGTATCTAAAAGTAGTTCTGAAACAAATTCAAGCCTGTATCAATCCTTGATTTTTGACAGCTATTGGAATACTGGGGAAAAAATCTCTTGGATCGAGAGTCCAGACTTTTAAAAGAATTGACAAGAAAAAAAACTCTCAATTCAAGCGGATTTTTACTTGAATCAAGAGGTTATCCGCTTAAATTAAGAGGCTTGGCTCTCGATTCAAGCAAAAATCTGATTGAATCGAAGAATTTTTCCTCGTCAAATTTTCCAACCGCCGAACACTCTCCTTTTTCGCTCGCTCTTTTTTGGACTCTGGATCCAATGCATTTTTTTAGTGAGTAGAGAACCTGCAGTTAGGCAACAAAGCAGGCAGTTCTCAATTTGAAATAATTTTAAATGAATGTGGGGGAGAGATACATGCGCCTTCGTTCTATTACGTATATTAACGAGAAAATCGGAAAAGGTAGATAAAAAACAACAACGCGGAGTTTTAATTTGAAAAATTGAATGATGTGGATACATGACTGCGAGTGACTGGCCATTCTTACTCATTTATTGCATACTGCCTATTTATTTTGAATCATATTATTGAAATTGTAAGACTCCTGTTTTAAATACGACCATTACTTTAAATCATTAATTGTTTTTCCCACAATGGATCTCAATACTTTCTGTGATATATAATAAAAAATTCTGCCGAAATAATTCGTTCTTCATCCGTCTAAAACTCCACTTTCAGGGTCAAACCTCTTTCATTTCGCCTCAATCGATGAAACAACGAACTTGACGCGAACCACTTCGAGGACAAGGACAAGTTTCAAACACGATATGAATCATGTGTTTTAAAACCAATACATGCAACTACGCCATGCATGAGTGTAAAAAATGAAGTGTTACGATATTGACAAATTAATTTTGATAACTAACTCCTTAATGACCTGCAAACAGCATAATGACGAGATTAAAAATGAAGGAGTTAATACCGAAGCATCCTGCATTGGAGAAAAAACCGCAGTTCTTTCAAAACAACTTGTGGGTGAGTTTCTCAGTGCTAAAAAAAAAACGCGAGCTCCCCGTTCATCACCATGTACCTGTTCAAATTGAATTTGGGAGTTGAGAGGCAGCTGGCGGCAGCGTTTGTGGGTAAGTCTGAAATATACCTTTCAAATAATTCTTGTGAATTTGATTGCAATTTTTCATTAGCAAAATTTGTTTTTTGAAACGGAAAAGTAGCGTGAAAATCTCGGTGCAATCTGGTATTAAATTCTATGGTTTACGACTGTGCCTCAGTTTTTTCAGCTTAATCAGATTGAAAACCTGCCACGCGTGAAATTGCCTGCTTTCTGGGGAAATCCTTTGACTACCGAGAGATAAATTTGAATTATCGCCAGCAGTTTTTTGGGAAATTGATATTTTTTTACCGAAAATATTTGTTCACTTGACAAATGATCTGGAAAACTGAGGCCCTTCCAAGAGTTATTCCGGGATACTCTTACCAATCAGACCATTTCTGCTCAATTTTACCGAAGAATACAAATTCACTCTTAAAATTTTGAAACTTTCAAATAACTTTTGCCTCCTCCCCTCTCGGTAACATTTGGAACAAGATGGAGATACTAGTATCAAGTTCAGATACATTATAAATATATGAGGCAGAAACATCAAATTTTGGAAAATGGATGGTGTTCGTTTTAGGACTAGCGTCCAAACCCAAATCTGATAAAATCCTGAAACGGATGGATTCTTCCCAAAATCTTAAAAATTAGATATCGATGGCCAAAGTGCGAGAGCATGTACCTCCGTTTGCGAGATCGTAGACTTCTAGTCATATTTTATTTTTACCTTGAAAAACTAATTAACATAATCTCTTGAAAAATCAATTAATTTTTCCTCTTTGTTTGTAGAAAATTCTGTACTTTCAAGCTATAAAGTTGACTTGTTCCTCTTCGAAAAAATAAACTAGAGGCGGAGATTTTGAAACACCGCAATGGACATACGTGGTGTCGCACTCTAATCATCGATATTCTATTTCCATGTCAGTATGTCAAAATGAGGGAGACATAAACCTGAAGCTTCCACGAATGTTTCAGCCTCCATCTCAATTTTCACCGTTGGGATGCTCTTAGGCTGGCCGGCTCCTACCCTGAAGCTCCTGCGGCAGCCAGACTCGCCACTTCACCTAACCCCGTCCGAAGAGGCCCTGATCGTGAACGCCCTCTTCTTTGGCACGTTTCTGGCGCCGTTTCCTTGTGGGGCCCTCATGGACCACGTGGGCCGCAAGACGTCCATGCTCACCCTTGCTCTTTTCCCGATCCTTTCGTGGGCCCTTGTTCACTTCGCCCAGGGCAGTTTTTCCCTGGTGATCGCTCGTTGCTTGGCAGGGATCTGCGTGGGTGGCTGGCAGACGTTGGTCCCCGTCTACGTCGCCGAAATAGCCGAACCCCAAGTTCGAGGCATCGCTGGATGCTTCTTCATGGTAAGACCACGGATCAAAGTTTCATGGAAATCAAGGGGAAAACGAGTTTGCGTCGGAGACATCAGGCGGAAAGGTCAATTTTGCCGTGCATTCTCGAGTTCTACACCTGCCAGTTTAGGGCTGAGATACAAATAGGGTATGTTGTGGCCCTAAACCGGCTGATGAGAAACGCCAAGGAGTTAGGTAACGCCAACTGACCAACCGTCTTGTGTCTTCAACGCAGATCGTTTGCCCCGTTACGAGAAAAGGATGTCCGGGGAATGTTATTCAAATTTTGAGGGACCATTGTAATGTGTGTGCTTGGGTATTTGTTGTCAATTTTTTTTTTCGCGTTGCAAAGAAGGACTTCGGAAATTGTTTCCGCACTGCAAAAAAACTCCGGCTCTGAATACCGTAATCATAAGCTATATAAATTTACCGCCTGTTTCTAGTTCAGAGGCCGGATCCGTTACTCCGAGCACAGAACCCGAAGCAGTCGAAGCTAGGACCCCCAGATCTGGAACTATGGTCTCTATTGAGCCCGGAACAGGCGATTTGCCCACTATAATTACTGTGTTCAAAATCGCACTTTTTTTCGAATGCGAAAAATTATATTTTAGCAGGAAATATCTCGGATAACTCTACCGAGGGTGGGAACATTGCTTTTGAAAATGACGTCATTCTCCATACTTCAATACCCTTTTACAGGTTTAAACTCTTGGATCCTTATCAAATCTTATGTATTCTTACATGAAGATTTTAAGGATCGAATATTTTACTATGCGTGCTGCAACCCACATTTCTCCATTTCTACGGCTTCAAAACTGTACTAAATTCTTATTTTCGATTTAAAGATAGTTTTTTTCCCCTAGGTAAATGGGTTTGCTGGGATGATCTTCGTCTACATCGTAGGACCATTCGTCTCGCTACCAACAATGGCCATGATTGGAGGAATTTTTCCAGTGACTTTTCTTGTCTTGTTCCTACACTGTCCGGAGTCGCCCTACTACTACATCAAGCGAGGGCTTCACGCTGATGCAGGCAAGGCGCTGAGCTGGTTAAGAGGAGGAGCGTCCATTGAAACTGAGCTAGCCAGTATCAGGACTTCAATCGAGAAGGAAGCAAAGGCTGATAGAGGTCTCGTCAAAATGTTGCGTTTAATCACAAATCCAGCGAATCGAAGGGCTTTTATCATCGTTCAAGGAATTGCGTGTTTGCATAGGTGCGTTTTAACGTAATTTCATAAAGTATTTAAAGCCCTGTCGTTTTTGGCCGTGTTAACGGTTACCTCGATTCTGATTAAATCTGATTGTGTTTTTGACTAAATATGTTTTAAGAAGAGAAAATCTGTGTACGTTTACTCACAAAAAAATGAAGACCTGTAATTTTCAAGGAATGTTCCACTTCTTACCTGCAACAGCAAACAAAATAATAATATTATTTTTTAACATATTTTTCAGAACAACATAGAACGTATACATAAAAACACCCATGCGCACAGGGGAGGTAATGGAACATATGTTGTTCCTAGAATGAACCACAAATTGTAGTTCCTAATTGCACAATGTAGTTCAAATCTGAAATTGAGAACATTGCATATAAAGGGCTGGGGGGACAAGGCGCATGAATGCAGTTTCTGAAAAAATGGAGAAATTCATGAATTCAACTGAAACTAGTTCGAAAGTGTAGTCTGTGAAAAGTTCACGACTAAAATCCAACTTGAAAGCGTCAAAAAGTAAGTTGTAACTTCCTTCCATCGTAGGACTGGATGTAATTTTAAAACTTTAGACACGTATTTCTTGAAATAGAAAAAACTACACTTATGCGCCTTGCCCTCCAAGCCCCTCATACAGAGGCGGATCCAGCAATTTGGCAACACCGGATTTCCTCCGTTTAAACTTATGTTAAACAATCGATTCTAGTTTGAGCACCTTGTCCCTTAAAGAATCGATACGTTTCCATACGTTTAAGTTGAGAAAAACAATGTTTCCAATTTGCTGGATTCGCCAATGCCCTCATAATACACCGGAAAAAAAGTGAAGTCGATTTAACATTCTGGATGTAACAAAAGTGTGCGAGAACTTCTAAAATGCTGAATTACCAGTTAGTTTTACATGCTGGAATTGCGGAATCAACTCTTCTAGCGGGCAATTCAGCATTTTAGAAGTTCTTGCACACTATTTTCACATCCAGAATGTTAAATCAACTTCACTTTTTTTTCGGTGTATGACACATTTTTTGGCAAACATTCTGAAATTTGTTATCAAACTGAGCTTTTCTTGTTCCATTTCACCCAGGTCAACTGGAATACCCTGCATAGTCGCTTTCTCGACAGTCCTTCTCCCAAGCCACATCGGAGCCCTCACCAACGACAACTGCACGATAATAATGGGCGTAGCCCTGCTCTCAGCCTCTCTCTGCTGCTCCGCCATCGTGGACACGGTGGGCAGGAAGCCTCTCCTCTACCTCTCGAGCATCGGGATGTTCACCTCGATGCTCCCGACAGCCGTTTGGTACTACCTCGACCGCGAGACGTCAACGGACGTCAGCGGGGTCAACTGGATCCCTCTCGCGGGGCTCCTCTGTTTCGCCGTCACGTTTTCCGTCGGCCTCGGTCCGATCATGCAAATCTACGCGGGCGAGATGTTCCCCACCGATCTGAAGGGACACGCATGCGCACTGGCAACGATGAACCAGGCCGTTTCGGCGGTGATCGTCACGCAGATATTCGTGGCGCTAACCGTGTACGTTGGGTTGTACGCGAATTTTGTTCTTTTCGCCGCGATGGCGCTGGTGAATTTGGGGTTCACGTATTTTTGCGTGATAGAGACTAAGGGTAAAACGCTGCAGATGATACAGGCTGAGCTGAATGGTGAGGAGTCGGACATCCCGGAAAAGGCACCGAACATCGGGAGCAATGGACTCTGTCCGTGATGCGACGCACAGTGGATCAGAGAGGTCGGACATAAAATTTTTGACAAGGACTGCAAATTTTGACGTTTATTTCGTCAAATTTTAAATTTTGAGGGGAGTTTCTGGAGGAAAATTTCACGAGGGAACCAGTGGAACTACTTTGAGCACCTGAAAATTTTATATATTCAAAGTTAGACGCTTTTAAAGTTTCCAGATTTTGTCCAACCTCTCCTATTGACTCGATCCACTGTGCGACGGTCACAATAATTATTTAAGATCAAGTGAATAGGCAACAAATGCAGTATTTTTATGAGAACCGGCAAGTGGTGAAAAATCCATGCTGCTTAAAGAAAAAACACTGACTAATTCCTCGTAAAAATACTGAATTTATTATAAATGACAGCCAAAACAAATGTTTTATTTGAGTAGGTAACTTTGGACTGACTTTCGAAGAACGGCAGTTTAAAACCCCGGGAAAACGCGGTTTTTGAAAAATGCGATTTTATAAGAAAATACCAGGCGATAGGAAAAAAACAAGGTCGTTTTCGGCTTCAGGAGCAGAAAGTCTACAGGATACTCCCTTTAAACACTTAGGAACATTACCCCTCTTTTGAATTTCAGAACAAATTAGTAAGATTTAAATCGGGTAAAAAGGTCAATCTTACAGCAAATCCAAAAGGCTGGTACAAAGCTGCAAAATTTCTTTGAAGTCCATTTTTTTTTTTTCCTCTGAGCGAATAAAAACAGCAAAAAACTGAAGGGCCATACAATTTGAATAAAGCTTGCGGAAAAAATTAATACGACTTTATCAATGGATTAAACAACTTGACGATGTATACTCAAGTGTAATCATAAGTCTGTGGCGATTTGCCCGCGTTTTCCACTAATATTAGAAAAGATATAGAAGGCGAACAAGAACAGAACCAAGTAGAGTGTGATGAAAAAACTTATATTATTGTATGAGACTAATAAGGTACACAACACTACTGAATTAATCAGTGTTCCAGGTTCCTACCTGAGTGATATTTTCTAGTGCTTAATACGTGTTTCAAAGAGGCAAACTATGTTTCCCGTTAAATTAAGTGGAATTCAAAGACAACTTGCGGCAGCATTAATATGTAAGTAACAGCTTGGCGTGCTCCCAATTTGTTAAATCAATTTTAAAAATCATTAAAATAATTCAAAACTAACTGGACTATTTGTTTACTTCTTTTTCAAAAATTACAAGTGCAATTCAAAAGAAAGAAAGTTTGTGTTAGTCTTAAATTTTTTCCCCTAGTTTTATATCAATTGCCAAGGCTGAGTAGAGAAAATGTAAAAACTGCACAACTGATAAAACTTTTTGTTTCACGTCAAACATTGGCTGAATACTGAGGGTTAAGAGAAATGAAGCATAAGTATTTGAATATTATTTTGTATGATGTTTTATTACAACACATTATTTGACTTGGTCGGTTGGGATGGATTAATTCTGAGCTTTTTGGTTGATAAAAAGAGTAAAACATTGAAACTGTACATTATGCACGATTACCTTTCCCACTGAACCCTGCACAGCGTGACCTCCCACAGACACGATTCATGAATTGTGACCCAATTGCAACCCCCGTGGGTGATCACCGATGATTTAAATGCATTTTCCCAACTTAATTTCTACATCGGCGCCTGGTGCTCCCACGCCTGATGCATATAGTAGATTTGAATTGATGGGTGGTGAGGGAGGTTTGGGACGTAATCACTTCCTTGTGCGAACGCCGCCAAATCAGAAAAGGAAACGAAAACAAGGCGAAGAAAGATATATTGTCTACGAACTTCCATGAAGCTTGCTCAAAATCATTTAGAGATCAATAAAAAGGTTCATGTCTCTTTTTTTGGCTTCAATGGACCGTATTAATAGTGATTTTCTTGACGTGAATTCATCCGCGTGTTGAAAATCGCGAGAATGGGCAGAATCGTGTTTTGGTGAATTAAGATTAAATTTCAGCGAGAAGTTAAGAAATCTGTCAAAAATTCAAGTTTCCACGTCCAATTTTAACGGCAAAATCCTCCTTCCACCACGCGGCGCGGCGTCTAACGTGATCCACCGCGTTGCGACATACCATGGTTTCTTTCACCTTGGTATATTTCATGTTTTAAACCTTTCATAAACATCACCATACAGAAATAGAGCGAGAGAAAGAATGCGCGTTCACGAAGGCGCAGAGATACAACTATTCATGCTTAAAGGGTGTTCGTGAAGCATTTGCGAAATTGAAGGTGCGAGGGTGTTAGGCATAAACTCGCAATGCTCCTCTCTATGCTGCGAATGAGGTGTCGCTTAGATTAGGGAGAACAGTTGAAAAACGAAACCGGATTACGTATTTCCTATCTTCGGCTGTGTCTCTCACGAAGCCGTTGAAACACCACTGCAAATAAGAGAAACGAAATCATCACGTTGAGGAAACAGAGCAAGGGAAAAGGCGCGCGTTGATGACGGCGCAGAGATACGACTATTCGTGTTTGATGGATGTCTAGGTTGCATCTACAAAATTGAAGGCGCGATGGCACGAGGCGTGAACTTGCAATGATCCCCTCTCAAAAGACGTGGAGATTTCGAAACACCGCAACCGGAATACACATTTTTGCAGTTTCACCTTGATTATATCGTCACTTTCCGGCCAAAGTATCACAAGCGCCATGAGATGTTAAAACATTTCCGCCGCCATTTTATTTTTTTACAGAGAAATTTTTGGTTGAATCAATTTGAAAATTTCATTGATTTCATGACAGCACACAGAAAATTCCGTGAAATTTTCGGACCGCTTCGTTGAACAATTTCTATGTACGAAAATAAAATGGCAGCGGAAATGTTTAAACGTCCCGTGGCGCTTGTGCACGGAGAAAAAAACTTCGTGCGTAGGACCCGAAGTTGAGGTCATATGGATCTCTGAAGTTTTCGGATCACGTATCCAAAAACTTGAGGTCTAGCTGCCGAAGTTCGGGTCAGACATCGAGGCACTTCGGTCTGTACCGGAGTACTTCAGATACGTTACCCGAACCCTTCGGTAAGTATCGAAGTACTTCAGTTGTCTGACCCGAACTTTGGCAGCTGGACCTCAAGTTTTTAGTTACATGATACGAAAACTTCAGAGATCCATATGACCTCAACTTCGGGTCCCACGCACGAAGTTTTTTTCTCCGTGTGATACTTTTGCCGGGAAGTGACGGTGTACGATCTTAATAGCGTTAAATCATCTCCTTTCAGCTGCTATGACGTCATTCATATACGGAACCCTGGTGGGATGGTCAGCCCCTACGCTGAAGAAACTCCGGGAGCCAGACTCACCGATTCACCTGACTCCTGGCGAAGAGGTGCAGATGATCAACGCAATTTACGCCGGGACCTTGCTCGGGACGTTCCCGTGTGGGGCACTCATGAACAGGGTCGGCCGGAAGGGCTCGCTACTCCTGCTCAGTGCGTTCCCGATCACTTCCTGGTCCGCGATCTACTTCGCGCGAACCGCTTCCACGCTCCTCATCGCCCGGTTTTTCGCCGGGGTTTGGGGTGCCGCAGCTATGACGATAAGACCCATCTACGTGGCAGAAATCGCTGAGCCGCGGGTCAGGGGTGCAGCTGGCGCATTCACGATGGTGCGTTTAACGTTTCTGCCTTTTCTCTCAATTAAGCAAAAGTTATTTTGGGAATTCTTCCTGGATCGGGCATGTTTAATTTGTACATTATGTGCCTGTATGTCCCAATCTCCTTTTCTTGAAATGTTTTAACTTCTAAGTAATGATAGCCATTACGGAATTCATGAATTCCATCTTCAGGTCTCCTTCTAGATACGTACCCTTTACCTGAATTTACAATGATATTATTTAAGGCGCTTACACTTCATTAGAAAACTTAGAACAAAAGCATAGCACGGATACATTTTCACGGCGCGCTCTTCCAACACCACGTGCTAGATGTACCTGCTTGCTTTCACTATACAACCAAGGTTAACTAAATTTTTTGGGGGATAGGGGGCGAGAATAAGTCCTTTGCGTATGATACATTGACACATGTTGCACGCTCGAGGCTACCTCTTATATTCACCATTAATCCTTTAATATTTTGACCTTTACCCTCAATCTTTAATATAGACCTTGTAAATAGTTAGTTAGCTACTTAATTTATTTAGCGACATTCAGCAACTTAGGCTATTCATGCCTTCACAAAATAGTGTCTCTCAATTTATACCTACCTGTATAGACTAGAAGTAGCTCATTTAAATGTATCTAATAAATGCATATAAATTTTGACAGGTGGCTATGTTTGCGGGGACGATTTTTGTTTTCGTCGTGGGCCCCTGTGTTTCGATCCAGACGATGGCGGTAATCAACGGGGTGGCTCCTCCGGTCTTCTTCCTGCTCTTCTCACTCTGCCCGGAGTCGCCCTACTACTACATCATGCGGGGGCGGCACGCGGATGCGGCGAAAACCCTGGCCTGGCTCCGAGGAGGGGCGCCCATTGAGAGTGAGCTGACCTCCATACAAACCTCCATCGAGAGGGAGGCCAAGGCCGGCCAAGGATACTTCAAGAAAATGCTAAGCCTCGTCACTGTTCCCGCAAATCGGAAGGCTTTCTTCATCGTTGAAGTCATGAACTTCTTGCAAAGGTATGCTCCACTCTGTAGTGAAACAGTGGCGTGGCGTGCTTTGCGATATATCGATCGATCTGCCATTTAAACCTAAAAAAGGATCGACATACAGGGTGTTCGCAACAAACGCCATAATAATCGATTATTTACCATATAGCTTCAAATGGAGAAATCTCGATAATCGATCATTCACGACTCGCCACTGTTGTGAAACTCTCCGTGAAAAAAATTAACTTTTGACGACTGTCCGTCAGGATACAGGCTAATATTCATTTTAGTAGGATTCAGTTATCTACAGTTATACGTATCTTGTACTGTGATGGTCTGATAAACAAGAACAAAAAAAGAAGAATAAAGAGAACGGGCAATTTGTCAGTCCATGTTCGACATAGCAAATTGGCTTTTAAGCAGTTTTTATCCATGGGCAAAACGAGGAATTTTTTTAGACACAGCACGAAGGGAAAGTGTCCCCTGCCACCCCCAGAGAAATAAAAAAAAAACATCAATTCCTATGTGTTGCGAAAAAAACCCCGAATACCCCCAAGTTCCGCCTGGGTTCTCATTCTTAATAGTGCCCAATCTATGACCCTTCTGTATGAAGAGAGATTCTGTACCGTACGGCAACCGATCTATTAAGAGTTTGGGAATCTTTTGCCACTATCATGTACTAAAAACTAGAAATGTATCATTTTTTAAAGAAGGACATTTTTTCACTCGAAATTACGCACCATGCTTCATGTATTTGCATCATGTTCCCCATTGTTGCCCTCCTGCCCTCCCGCATTAATACCGATGATTTTGCTCGCTCTAACCCTGCCTGATCATGAAATATTTCAACATCCGTTTTTACCATTTCCCAGGGTCTGCGGGCTAAGCTGCATGGCAGCATACTCAACAGTCGTCCTCCCACAACGAGTCGGCCCCTTCACAGCCGACCACTGCACTCTCATAATCGGCATCGTTTGGTTCCTATCCTCCTTAGGTTGTTCCACCCTGGTCGACAAACTGGGCCGAAAACCTCTCCTCTACGTCTCCAGCATCGGCATACTCGCCTCAATGCTCCCAACCAGCGCTTGGTACTATCTCGACAAAGAAACCGCGACAGACGTCACGTGGATCAATTGGGTCCCTCTCGCAGGATTCTTGCTTTTCGGCGTCACCGTTAACGTCGGTCTTGGCTCCATAGCCCCGACTTACATGGGCGAGATGTTCCCGAGCAACCTGAAAGCTGAAGCCTCGGCTTTGACCATTATGGCCGTCTCGGTTTCATCGGGTGTCAGCATAGCTGTGTTTGCACTGCTTACTGTGCATGTTGGCCTGTACGCCAATTTCTTGGTTTTCGCTGCGGTTGGGGTTGTTAATTGGGTTTTCACTTACTTCTGTGTGATTGAGACGAAGGGAAAATCTCTGCAGTTGATTCAGGATGAGCTCCATGGCGGAACTCGTTGGAAACCTCCAAAAAATAATCACTCGGACGGAAAATTAACGGTATGAAGGACTGCTATGCTGCCGTTCTAGGGCAGAACGCCGTGTGAGCCTTCAGACGCTGCCGAATTTCTTTCGATCAAAACCGAATTTACTGAACAATTTTAAAACAAATTTCCAAAATTTTCAGACCATTATGTGCGCAATTTATTCTAAAATATCTGAAGATTTAAAGGGAAAATGTGTTTAAATTGCGTCAAAAAACATGTTTCATCAAGGGAATTTTGGGAACTCTCAAATGTTCGTATGGCGTTGTTCCTCAGCCTAGCACTATGGGTCCTTGTTGTAGGATTCAACTTCTTCAGCATTCATTTCCTTAAGAAGACGAGATCTGATATTTAAGCGCATTTACAGAGGGTAAGATAAACAATCCAAACCTCTAGGCTACACGAGTGAGACTTTTTGTCGTAGCCGCTTTAATTGGCTTTCATTCCTTTTTTTCTCTCTTTTCACATATATGTACAGAAAAGGTTCTGAAACTAGTTTTGAAATGAAAAAAATATCAAGTTACGTTATAAATCAAATATGACATAAATAAATGAATAATACAATGATTATACCTGGAAATTGTCTTCAATATAAACCTGAAAGAAGATATCTTAGCTTTTTCCCTGAAAATGTTCTCATTTTGAAACACGTACGGTGAATGAGTTCAGGACTGCACTTTCGGAGGGTGCAAAACTCTACTCCACAAATTTGGCAGAGAAAAGGTAGCATTCTACACCAACCCAAGCGGGAGAATCCGTTAAATTTGAGTCATTAAGCATCGAGTAATAAAAGAAGGTAATCACCGTATACGTACTTCTAGAAGGTGATGCGGCCATGCGGCGTGCTAAGAAATAATATTGAAAAGAGTATAATACAAATAATGGATATTATTCTACACACGATGATTTTGGAATGATTTGAAGCAACGACTGTAAAGTACATGCAAACGATTCTTCCGCAAAGTAATGTAGCGAGATAAAATTCATGAGACGGTTGCAAAATTACGTTCTGCTAATGCTGCCAAGTAATGAGGTTTGAAAAATGCAAGGAATTAGAGATAAATTTGGAAGACGTGCACAATTTTCACGACTTCCTGTGTGAGTGAGCGAGTGAAGAATTGAAAAGTAAATTAAACCAGTCACATCTCGTGGCTCCGAGCGTTCTATCGATTTTGTGCCCGGAAGGATCATGTTAAACTTCATTGTTGTGAGTGGAATCGAGAGGCAGTTAGCAGCAGCTTTGATATGTAAGTTTTATATTGTTTTCTTGAAACAGTGTTTTTTTTTAAATTTTTGTAGTGTTGAAATAGTATACGACTGATCGATTGGTGGTCAAACGACCACCAATTTGCACACATAAATTTTATTACTTCATCGCAGAGTGCGTTATGAGGTGAGTTCGCAGTATTTTTCATAATTTTTTTCTGACATGGAAAATTGGAGGAAAATAGATTTAAAATTGAGAAAATGTGCCGCCTTCTGACGTTGTTTGGCGGCATTTTCCATTTAAACACATGTATTTTAGCAGATTAGGTTATTTTGCCATACTTTCTCCAATAATTGTCCAATTTAAAAACCATGGACATCCTCGTACTCAGATTTCTTAGCAGTACCATTTTAAAGATGAAATTCACAAAATTTAAGACCCCTGCAAAATCTCTATTCCATCTACTCTGTTCCAGCCGGATTCTCGTGTTTCATCGCCGGCGCCCTGACGGGATGGCCGGCCCCGACCCTGAAGAAACTCCGCGAGCCCGACTCGGCGATCCGGTTGACCCCGTCGGAGGAGGCGTGGGTGGTGAACGCCCTGCACATCACGACGATCCTGAGCACCCTGCCACTGGGGTCGCTCATGAACACGCTCGGCCGGAAGACGACCATGCTCGTCCTCTGTGTCTCCCCGATCGTTTCCTGGGTCCTCGTGTACTTCGCCCGAACAAGTTTCGTCTTCATCGTCGCTAGGTCGATCGGCGGCCTTTGGCTCGGTGGTTGCCAGACCTTGCTGCCCATCTACATCGCCGAGATAGCTGAACCGCGGGTGCGTGGCATCGCCGGCAGTTTCATCATGGTGAGGTTCTTTTCGAAGATTCTTTAGTCTTCAATCCCTTACAGAGGTAGTCCCTAAATTAGATTGAGTTAAAATAAATCAATCCTATCTATATCGAAAGTGTTGATAGAATCGCTTGTAATCGTAAATGCGACATCACATTGTCACCTTCCAGGCAAAGTATCACAAGCGCCATGCGACGTTTAAAAATTTCCACCACCATTATATTTTTTTACAGAGAAATTGTTCAACGAAGCTGTCCGAAAATTTCACTGAATTTTCTTCGTGCTGCCGATAAAATTTAGTGAAATTTCCAAACAGATTCAACCAACAATTTCTCAGTAAAGAAATAAAATGGCGGCGGAAATTTTTAAACGTCGCATGGCGCTTGTGATACTTTGCCTGGAAGGTGACGACATACGCATTGTAAAGCTGGGTAAATATGTTGAGTTGAAAAATATCATACTAGTGCGTCAAAAATCAGAACATTTATCAGTAAGTAATACATACAAAAATACAAGTCCTATACCGTGCTACGCAAAAACGTCATATGAGCATCCAAATGTTGCCAAATATCCTCTCACGATAAATTTATTTTTTAGAACGTTATGAACTCTTTCTTTCTTCTTTTGGAAGGAATGCAGGCAACGTCTAAAGGCTCATACGGCGTTCTTCCTTAAGCACGGCTAAAAAGTATCTACATCGTACCTGTTTCAAAGGATCAGGCCCAATACAGGGGTTGCATTATTTAGTAGTATGGAATCTGGATTTGGGTTACTTTATCACAAAAAGCCACGTACAATGGAAAATTAAAAGAAGAACATTGAACAAAAACAACCCAAAATCAAGTACTCCTCCCCTTGACTTAAGTATGCAGCGATAAAAGCCAGTGACACACTATCAAAGCTAGCCTTCGAAATATCAAGGTCAGGTGTAGACTAATCACAGCACTTAACCTTGAAATTTTAATTGAGTATTTTGATAGTGTGACACAGGCTAATGAATAAAACCTTGACCATTCAAAGTCCACAATTTCATCTTCAAATTAACTTCCGACAGGTCAACGCTTTTGCAGGAATAATTTTCGTTTTCACAATCGGCCCTTACGTGTCTGTGCCGCTGATGGCGGTCATCAACGCCGCGTGTCCTTGCGTCTTCTTTTTGCTGTTTCTGTTCTGTCCGGAATCTCCGTACTTCTACGTCATGCGGGGGCGCTATGAAGCTGCGGGGAGGGCGCTGACATGGCTCAGGGGAGGGGCGCCTATTGATGGGGAGTTGAACATCATACAAACGTCCATCGAGAACGAGGCGAAAGAAGGTCAAGGCTTCTATAAGCGGATGCTTCTTTTGATCACCAACCCCGCAAACCGAAAAGCTTTCATCATTGTAGAGGTCATGACTTTTTTGCAAAGGTTTGTTTTGTGTATGAGTGCAAGACAACACTGTTTCATTGCATGAGTAAGAAATATTTCTCTTTACGTTGAACACACATGGTCCAAGTCCAAGTGAATTTTAACCTTTATAAAGGTAATTTCAAAATTTGTGAGAGGCAAAAACCTATGAAAACTGTCAACTTGGTAAGAATTCGCTTTGGAAAAGAACTCTCTAAATTTTAGCAGATGAAGGCTCTTATGTTTAAATCATGCCATGCTCACTGCTCAGCTTCTCACTGGTCATAATTTATTAAACAAAGACAAGGCTAGATTCTAAAGGGAAAGTCTTCTTCTTTGAGAATTAGAATAACCCTGTAAAAAAATTAAATCTGCTTTAAGTTGAAAAGCTGAGCTAATTGTTCTCGATTTCCTTTTTGAGAGTAATATCTCTGGACACTATGCTCCAAGCTCCCTAATAATTCAAAGAATTGCAGGGGAATGGAGCAATTTCAAAAAGAAAAATTCTAGATTTTTTTCCCTCCATCCCTTGATTTTGAAATTTCTGTTTTTCCCGACTCTCCAGCTTCGTGGTCCATTGCAAATCTTGCAAGGTTCAAAAAACTAAAATTTAATCGCATAAGTCAACGTAAATTAGTCGATATTAAACCAACCAAATACCCATACCAAAAATCGATTATTCTTGATAGGTTCAATGGAGAAAAGAAGTGCTGCCAAACTGCGAGGTCGCCTGTAATGATTGTGGACCAACTAATAATTGGATCACGTTAAACCCAGAAAGAAACCATGCCACATCAGACATTTTCAAATTTAATAGGGCGCTTTAATCGTTTACAGGAAAACGATTGTGCAGATTTCCATGAAAATTTCAATGAATTTTCTGCGAAGAAGCAAATTTCTCCACTTTTTCAAAAGAATTCGCGTTTTTGAAAACATTAAACTGCCCCTTAAAATCTGGCGATGGCTGATGTCGCTTGGTTCCTTCCTGTTAAACCCGGTTCATTTATCCTATCTCCTTCATTCCAGATTTTCCGGCCTAAGCGTTTTGAACTCTTTCTCCACGGTCATCCTACCAGAACGGACCGGCCTCCTGACCGCAGACCACTGCACACTGATCATGGGCATCGTCTGGCTACTGGCCTCCATGTGCTGCTCCGCCTTGATCGACAAACTCGGCAGAAAACCCCTCCTTCACATCTCGAGCATTGGCATATTCGCCTCCATGATCCCGACCGCCGTCTGGTACTACCTGGACAGGGAGACATCAACTGACGTCACTCGGGTCAACTGGGTTCCGTTTGCGGGGTTCCTGGTTTTCGGTTTCACCGTTTCCATCGGGATCGGTCCTATTGCCGCGATGTACCCGGGCGAGATGTTTCCGAGTCACCTCAAAGCTCAAGCCTCGGCCCTGTCGAATATGGTGTCGTCTATCTCCGCTACTCTCAGTACGGTTATGTTCGTGACGATAAATGCGCACATTGGGCTGTACGCCAATTTTTTTGTTTTCGCTGCCGTTGGGATCGTCAATTTGGTTTTTACGTGTTTCTGCGTGATTGAAACAAAAGGAAAGTCACTGCAGATGATACAGGAAAAATTGAAACACGGAACTTGGAAGGAATCGGGAATGAATCGAGAGACACCGGAGACTCACTGAGAAAAAACTATGGCTTATAAACCAATTAGTGGTTCATGTGGAACACCATCAATAGTAGTAAAGGCAACATAAAATGATAGCACATATGCCTTAAATGTGCGGTTTTATACCTTAGTGTGTTTCACAGACCGAGCGGGTCATTAGTTCATTTACGACTATTAGTGGTATTCCATATGAACCGCTGATTGGTTTATAAAGCCATAGATTTTTGAAGAGAAAATTTAATTCGATTTCTTTCTTTTTTTCTCTAACATTTATGTTCTCTGAAACATGCACAAATAACCTCCACTGTAGAATATTTTAATAAAATACTGCTTACATGATCTCATGATTAAAATGTATTTCGAAAAAAAAAATGTTTTTAATGTTATTTTCTCCCCCACTACAATTCAATAGGAACAGAAGTCCCTTACAGGCATTTGACTTCATCCTCTTTACCTCTTTTTCCTTTTACCTTTTTTAGTTTCAAATATAATTATGAATACAAACGTAGAACTTGGGATACAAAAATTTACAAATGAAAGGTTGCAATCAAAATCAAATTGCAATTATTTAGTTAGTAATTGACAATTAAGACAATTAGACAATTTAGTAAGACAATTTGAGAGCCTTAGAATTTTTTTCTAGGTTGGACCAGAGACCTTGATGATCACAATTCGTATTATAGCGACTAAAATTATTTTTAAAAAACTTGAACATCCACGAAAAAACCTTTGATAACTGGTGTTTGTTTCGGAAAAACTAGAGCACTACAAAGTAATTAGTATGTTAATGGGAATAGAATAAAAATAAACACTTAAAATACGTTAATCTAATTTTAGAAGGGTAAAATATGAGAGAGCCAACACAACAACAACAAAAATTATACAGTCAAATTTTGTAGCCGAGAAGAGAATATCGATCAAAGAATGTATAAATCCAGGTGATGAAAGTTCGCGAAAGATGCGAAGAGTTCTACAATACTGAGGCGCCTGATGATTGAGAGTTTGAGCGTTGCCGCCGATACACTTAATTGAATAAAAATGACATGAAACAATCACGAAAGATGAGAAAGTTATCATATCGACAAGTTGTGAGAGTGAAGAAATGGGAGGGATTTGCGGTAAATTTGGATGCGGTGAAACACTTTCACGTGCGATAGATCGTCGCTCCTCTGACGTAAGGGCATATCTCCATTACGACTTGAGCCCTGTCCTCCGTATAACTCCATACTTCCCGAGGCTCATATGGAAATCGAGATATGCCCTCACGTCAGAGGTGTGACGAGATGAGTGGGCAAGTGAAATCTCAAACGAGATTAGATCCATTCTACTTGTGGATCAAAGCGCTCGGTTGATTTCGCGATCGAATGGAGAGATCATGTTGAACTTTATTACAGGTGGAATCCAGCGCCAATTAGCGGCATCTTTGATAGGTAAGTGCCCAATTTTGCTAAAACTATTTTCAGGTTCCCTGTGAAGATATCAATTTTGTTAGTCACGTCGTGGCATAAAAAGTACATCGTAAACAAGAGATCTAAACGATTGCGTCAGCCTTGCGCGTAAAATTGCACAGGAACCACGTCGATCACATCAGAAACTTCTAAAATGTATTCCTGAACACGCAATTTGTGTAGTCCGCATCACGTTTATTCGTAGCACCGTGTAATATTCTTACCGTTTTTTTTTTTTTTTTTTTTTTTTTTTTTTTTAAGCAAAATTGTTCACCCTTAACTTGATGCATGTCGATCAGTAGTTACGCTAATTTGGTCCAATCAATAAAATTTTAAATTCATTTTTTCAGTCAAGATTGTCTTCAAGCGATCTAATTTTCGAATAACACCTCATGAAATTTTTCTATTTTTTTGGGAGGGGGGGATTATTGAAGGAAATTTTCACAAAATTTCAATGCATGATTTTGCTCAGATCCTCTGAACAAAAAATTATAAAATTTTGAGAAATCAGGCAGTTTGTGATATAGTTCATCTGAGCCGGGTCAAAACCATATCCGATTCCGAAGAGAGTTTTTTCATTCGAGACTTTTTCAGGGTTGCCATAATATTTAAGAAATGAAATTCCCTGTTTCCCTGATTTTCCTGACACATTTGAATTAATTTCCCTGACAATTGAGGAAATGCCATACGGCCAAAAAGACATGATTTGAAATAGTTTCCAGGCAAAATTTGTTGTGCTAGATGTCAAATCCATCTTAGAAATCGAAAAAAGGTACATTAACAATTTTCCTCTGACACTTTCGACATTTTTTCTAACATTTCAAGGTTTTCCCTGACTTTTTAAAATTCCCTGACATTTCCCAGTTTTCCTGATATTCTCTGACTGTGGCAACCCTTATTTTTCCACGATATATTATTCATAAATCAAATTTGTACCGCGTTTAAGAGAAAGGAACCGAGCCACACCAGCTACTGCCTTTGGCTGGGCAATCAAATTTTTTACAAAAGAAAGTTTTTGCGGATTCGTTTGAAAATGTTAAGACATTTGCTACGTACTATGCAGAAAATTCACCGAAATCTGTCCAAAAATCTGCACAACCGTAATCATGTAATAAATTAAATTGCCTCGTTAAATTTGGCGATAGCTGATGTGGCTTGGTTCCTTTCTGCTTAATGCGGTCTATTTCATGAGTACGTTCATCATTTTCCAGCTGGTTTCTCGTGTTTCATCGGCGGATCATTGATGGGATGGCCGGCCCCGACGTTGAAGAAATTCCGGGAGCCAAACTCGGCGGTCCGCATGACCCCTTCGGAGGAAGCCTGGATGGTGAACGCCCTGTACATCATGTCGATGTTGTGCACCCTGCCGATAGGGGCGGTTATGAACCGGATCGGCCGGAGGACGACCATGCTCGTTCTATGTGCCTCCCCGACCATCTCCTGGATAATGATCTACTTCGCTCGAACCAGTTTCGTGCTCATCGCCGCTCGAGCGATCGCTGGATTTTGGCTCGGTGGTTGTCTAACGGTGCTGCCTATCTACATCGCTGAAATCGCCGAACCGCGCGTACGAGGAATCGCTGGTTGCTTCATGATGGTACGCTTCATTTGCATTCTATTTTCAAGTCTTCTGTGATTGGTTAGCCGATGGGGACCTCCTTTCTGCCATGCTAAAGAAGAACGCCGTATGAGCCTTAAGGCGTTGCCAAATATCCTTCGAGAAATCACAACTTTCTGGAAAAACTTGTAACTATTTTCTTTCGATTTTTTGGAGAATGATATTCATGATTTGATCTTAAAAGTCGAAAATTGCATGGAAAAATATTCATTAAGTTCTTCAAAAATAAAGATTTTGAGAAAGGCAATTGGGATTTATTCGAATTCTTATACGGTGTTTATCCTTTGCACTGCAGCTTTAGCTTTCAAACCGGCACCAGGATTGAATCGAATCATGCGGAAAAAGCGGACGTCTCAAAGCTCACGAGCTTAGACTTCCGTTGTTAATATCTAGCATGGCTCATGGGTATTCAAACTTAATTTTAACATTTGTCATGCAAAAAAGAAAAAAGTCCAAATAACCATGATTCATAATTGAGCTGTGCTAGAAGTTTTTAAAAACGGAAGCCAAGGATCATCAGTTTTAAGACTTTTGCATGACTTGATTCAATTCTGGGATATTAAAGCTTGCAGCAAATAAACAAGAAACAGTTGTCTCCAAGATGGGGAAAAAACGGCTTTACAATTTTATGCAAAAATCAACTTTACAGTGAAATTGCACACTGGACAAAAAAAACACATTGGATCTAGAGTCCAGACTCTTAAAAACATCGACAAGTAAAAGTACTCTTGATTCAATCAGAGTTAAGCTTCAATCAAGAACCAAGCCTCTTAATTTAAGCGGATTTCGTTTTGATTCAAGCAAAAATCCGATTGAATCAAGAGTATTTTTTCTTGTGAATGTTTTCAAGAGTCTGGACTCTAGATCCAATGTGTTTTTTTCCCCCTGTTCAGATTAAAGCGGTTTCAAAAGATGTCTTAAAATTTCAGAATATTTCTGCTTTGATAAGTCACTTTTTTCAGTAAGCTGACAGTATAAAATAGTTCATTTCTTAAAGTTTCTTTCTCATCCAACAGCTCAACGCTATGGTGGGCATGCTTTCCGCTTTCGCGATCGGCCCATTACTCTCTGTTCTGACAGTGGCGGTCATCAACCTCGTCTACCCTATACTCTTCTTCGTCCTCTTCCTGTTCTGCCCGGAGTCCCCATACTTCTACGCCATGCGAGGGCGCCACGCGGCCGCGGGGAGGGCGCTGGCCTGGCTCAGGGGAGGGGCGCCCATCGAGGGCGAGCTCACCATCATCCAAACGTCCATCGAGGACGAGGCAAAGGCGGGCCAGGGCTATGTGACGAGGATGCTCCTGTTCATCACCAATGCCGCAAACCGAAAAGCCTTCTTCATCGTCGAGATTATGAATTTTTTGCAAAGGTTCGTTTCATGGATGAATGTAAAGTATCACATTCCATCGGAAAGTTTAGTGAATACGATTAAGCGATTATATTCATTGGGCCAGTTTAGAGGAGCTTATACCTGTTGAAAGAATGAATTTGACTCGTCTATTTCAATTTATTCATATGCATTAAGACTTTATTCGAGCACTTCTAAAATAAAGCTCGGCATGCGAAAGACAGGCCGTTAACCGACCAAAAATAGCCAAAAATGTTCGACATGCCCCGATCAGTAATTCTCGCGCAGGCCCGGAGAAAACAAGAAAATCTGCCTGTAATTTTAAAATTGAATGTCATCGAGCGCTAAAGCTGATTTGCCTGCGACTCTAGACAAGTGAGATAAGCGTTAAATTCTTACAAAATTCAAACTTCCCGATAGCGAAAAAACCAATTAACCGAACCATTTCCTAGTTTTTCAACCTGTAGACACCCAGCGGGCTAATTGTTGGAATTAGTAGACAAGGCGATAGAGAAATAAGACAAAAAGGATATGGAGGGATCCATAGGTTTAAGCGAATGGTTGCAATGGACAAAGGAGATAGATTAGAGACTAGCAAACTGCAACCGAAAAGAGACCCTATAGCTAGTCCATCATTTTCTCCCCTGGTCTATATGAACCACCAATAGGAATGCTGCATACTGCGTATTCTCTGTTCTCTCATTACATGTATTCTCTGTCTCTTGCTTTGTCTATCAATTTCAACGATCAACCCGCAGGTCATCTCCGTTATTAAAGCTGCTATCTTCCAATTTTTCCAGATTTTCTGGCTTGAGCGCTTTGGCAGCTTTCTCCACCGTAATCCTTCCAAACCGAATCGGACCTCTGACCGCTGACCACTGCACCTTCTTCATGGGCGTCAACTGGCTCGTGGCAAGCGTCTGCTGCACCTGCCTGATCGACAAAGTGGGCAGAAAACCCCTCCTCTATCTATCGGGCATCGGGATATTCGTCTCCATGTTCCCGACGGCCGTCTGGTACTACCTGGACAGGGAGACGTCAACTGACGTCACTCGGGTCAACTGGGTTCCGTTCGCGGGGTTCCTGCTTTTCGGCTTCACCATGGACATCGGTCTTGGATGCATCGCCCCGATTTACACGGGCGAGATGTTCCCGAGCAACCTCAAAGCTCAGGCCGCCGCCTTGTCGAATATGGTAGCTTCGATCTCGTCGACCTTGAGTACGGCTTTGTTCGTGGTGATAAGCGAGAAAGTCGGATTGTACGCTAATTTCTTGGTCTTCGCGTCGGTTGGAATCGTCGTTTTTCTCTTCACGTACTTCTGTGTGATCGAAACGAAAGGCAAGTCCTTGCAGATGATCCAGGAGGAGTTACATTGCAAACCGCGGAAAAAATCGGAGAATGATCACGAGAAAGCAGTTACGAATTGAGAAGAGTGATTTGCGATGTATCGATTGATCTGCCATTTAAACTTATGGAGAAGGTTCAATAAAGAGGGTGTCAGCAACGAATACCTTAATAATCGATTCTTTAACATAGCTTCAATTGGGAAATATCGATAATCGATCATTCACGCCTCGCCACTGAAAGTGAAGTTGAAAGGAAACGGAAAGTTGGTGGAGGCAAATGCTCGGACCCTAGATTCGGTTGTTACTGGTGAATCAACAGGATTTATAAACTGAAAAAAGTCCGGTGTTCTATACCGGTTGCATTAATCGGTCTATTTAACCGTACTATTTGTCGTAGGAAACGTAGTATCCTTGGTTGATGCAACCGAGCTTTCAAACCAATAACGCAACGATAAAAAAAGCTCAGTCGCATGAGCAGAATGTGCGGTTACAAGAACCAAACAGTGCGGCCGATATAGAACGCCGTACTTAAAGTTCAGGTGGTCGAAATGTCTTTCTCAATGTACAATCCGAAAATCGTCAAACTCAGGAAGCTTTGAGGATGAAAGAGAAAAGAACCAGGAATAAGTTGAGAATTCTAGCATGAAATCGGCAAAATCAGATGTTTGAATCACCTACTCGGTTGAAAAAAATTATGTGTGTATGTTTCGCTTAACGGTGATAACTTTGAATTTCAATGTCTTTAGTGTCCATTCAATTATTGTAGTCTTATGTATTCAAATTATGATTCTGTCTCAAAAGCGGCAAAATTAAAATAGATTTATCAACGCAAATATTGTAGAAACTATATTTAAGGCATATGTAACTCACTTGGGAACAGCCCATGAAAGATAGTTCTAATAACTGTGTCTTTCAGTGGTAGTATTTTGGAACGTTGGAAAACATTCTCAAGTGTGCATTAATCCATGCCATTTTTTCAAACTACAAATGTACTGATGTAACGTTCTAGCTGATTCATTTTTTGCTTTGGCGTGTAATTTAAGATCATTGATTCGTTGTGGAACTTGTACAGATGAACTCTCATGTAAGTCTTTATTCTATTCATAAATGATCTCATTATTAAAATTTATTTTCCAAAAATTACTTTTGAACAGATGTTATGAAATGCATTTTATTCCCCATCGACGGTAAAATCCCATTAAAAGAACAAATTATTCTTGCCATTTTTTTGAGAACATGCTCGTTACTTTAACAGCTGACAAATAGGTACCTACAGCCTACACCGAACAATGCCACATTTTAGAGCTAAACAAAAATTTAAATGCGCAACAGAAACCAGGAACTTGGTATTGCTATATTCTGGACTACCAGTTCTGTTTGAAAAAACAGAAAACGGCGGGAAGCACACATTCAAAAATAAAATGTCAATCCTGAGTTGGACTAACTTTTCTCAGACGACTTTAAAATTTACTTTGCCAAAATTAAAAAAGAAAGATTCGCACTTCTACTTCATTTCGTGGGAGTCCCAAGTACTCTCTGTGGCAATGGCATGATCATTATTATAGCGCAATCGTACTCGCATTATTTCTCTTGCAGTTCAAGAGGTAAAGTTGAGACCAAGATTTGCGAAAGAGAGATAGAGAAAATGCGAAAGATGAAGGAGGGGTGTCTGCCTCAGGCGAGGAACCCGAAAAATACGCGCTACTTAATCAGTCAAGGCTCCGCAACATGTGGAGTTCTGGAGTGTCAAGTGCCGATTGAGACTTTCGCCGTGAACAATAATGATGATGTACAAGTTCAGAGGGATCCAGAGGCAGTTGGCAGCAGCAGGGACATGTAAGTTCAAATATTGTAATTCATTCAATTTTGGCAACCCATACCGAAAATTACCGAGAAAATCACAAAATCCGAGGATCGTTATGAGCGCTGTGTGCGCGTCTGAGATTTACGTCTTAATTTAACCAATAACTGACATCTTTTAATGAGAAGTGTACGGAGAAAAAAACTTCGCACGTGGGACCCGAAGTTGAGGTCATATGGATCTCTGAAGTTTTCGGATCACGTAACTAAAAACTTGAGGTCCAGCTGCCGAAGTTCGGTTCAGACATCGAGGCACTTCGAAGTACTTCAGATGTCTGACCCGAACTTCGGCAGCTGGACCTCCAGTTTTTAGATACGTGATCCGAAAACTTCAGAGACCCATATGACCTCAACTCTGGGTCTCACGCACGAACTTTTTTTCTCCGTGCAGCTTGTACTTTCATCTTCCAGGTGCGCTCTCGACGATAATCATGGGCAACATGCTGGGCTGGCCGGCTCCGACGTTGAAGAAACTCCGCGAGCCGGATTCTGAGATTCACCTGAGCCTTTGGGAGGAGGTATGGGTGGTGAACGTCTTTTACGTGACGACCCTCATGGGTCCGTTCCCATACGGGGTGCTCATGAACGTCATGGGACGGAAAACGACCCTGCTCATAGCTAACGTCTTCGCTGCCGCCTCTTGGGCGCTCACCTACTTCGGCCGCACCGGCACCACGCTCCTCATCGCCAGGGGCCTCGCTGGAATCATGTCCGGCGGAGCTTTTACGGTGATGTTCGTTTACGTCGCCGAGATCGCTGAACCGCGAGTGCGCGGGATCGCCGGCACGTTGATGGTGGTAAGCGCTTTTTTAACAAATTGTCATTAATTAATTTTCATTGGGTTATTTCTATCATAAGGCTATAGCTTTATGATACAAATAGTGTGTGATACATTTAGTGGTTGTTATTACAACCACTCGATTGTGAAACAACTAGGAAATCATCTCGTATCAGCTTATTTATAGATCATAAGGGTCGTAACTGTCACTTTCCGCCACTAAAAATCTGACAGTAATCTGACAGTTTATTCTACAACTTCTCAAAGTTAAAATATCAATGACTAACGTGCAAAACCACGCAACTCCGTTTCATGAACAACATGAGGTGGCGAAGAGACACTGCTCGATTAGAAAATTCACGAAGACTGTAGTTTTTCTCATGGGCGGGAAAGCTAAATGTTTCGTGACCAGCACTGTATAAAAACATTAACACCTTGGTTTGGAGTTGATTTCAGTAATTTTCAGTCTCCGAGTAGTGTTATATTCATGAAGAGGGGTCAATATCAGAATGCTTGAATCCGTACAATTTCGAGAGATCCATTAAACACTGTGTTTCCATAATTATACCTACATTCTGTCAAGTTTTTTCCTTTTTTTCCTTTTTTATTTAAAAAAAACCACTCAAAAACACCCTAAACAAGTAATAAATTTTATTTTAGTTTATTTTAAAATTCTTGTACATGAAAGCTGCAATTACAGCCATAATACAGGTCAATAACAAATTTAAATTACGATAACATCAAATTAGCATGAAGCATAATCTTTCAGAATCAGCTCATCAATACTATAAAACGCTTCCTGAAATAGGAGGTGTTTCATGTTTCAAAATGACCTGATATACCTTGTGTTGTAACACGGAGTATGGATCTTTTATTTGAACCTTTCCCACAGGCAAGCATATTTCTCGGGACGATTTTGGTCTACCTTTTCGGCCCCTACGTCTCAATTCAAACGATGGCCGCGATCAGCGGCATGCTGCCTCTCGTCTTCCTCTTGCTCTTCTCACTTTGCCCGGAGTCGCCCTACTACTACGTCATGAGGGGGCGCCACGCGGATGCTGAGAGGGCGCTGGCCTGGCTCCGCGGAGGGACGCCCATCGAAAACGAACTGGCCGCCATCCAGACCTCCATCGAGAGGGAAAGGAAGGCTGGCCAGGGGTACTTCGCCAAAATGCTCAGCTTGATAACTGTTCCCGCCCATCGCAAGGCCTTCATTATTGTTGAGGTCTTGGCTTTCTTGCAAAGGTGAGTTTCAAAACTGGACTGGAAAAAAAAAAAAAAAAAAAAAAAACACAATGGATCTAGAGTCCAGACTCTTAAAAACATCAACAAGAAAAAATACTCTTGATTCAATCAGATATGAGCTTAAATCAAGAACCGAGCCTCTTAATTTGAGCGGATTTCCTTTTGATTTAAGCTTACATCTGATTGAATCAAGAGTCCTTTTTCTTGTCAATGTTTTCAAGAGTCTGGACTCTAGATCCAATGTGTTTTTTCCAGTGTAGACCGCGTTTAACAGAAAGGAACCAAGCCACTTCAGCTATTGCCAAATTTAACTAGGCACTTTAATTTTTTACGAGAGAAGATTTGTGCGGATTCCTTTGAAAATTTTAATGAATTTGTTTCGGGCTATGGAGAAATTTCACTGAAATTTGCACAAATATCCGCACAACCGTTTCCATGTATAACATTAAATTGAAACGATTAAATTTGGCAATAGCTGATGTGGCTTGGTTCCTTTCTGTTTAACACGGTCCACCTTTGCATTTCATAAAAACACATATGTGCATAATGAAAAAGATGGTACATTTGCTTCTAATCTGAACCAGAATCTGCACTTCCTAATAACAAAAAATAGTCAATTTTGTATGCAACACTGATCATTCTTTAATCAATTTTTTATGATCAATTGAAGTTTTTGGAGGCATTTCTTCTCCATCAAGCAAATTTCTTCACTCAAAAATGTTTGGCTCTTTCCTTGAAATACTTCTGAGCTGACGTCTCTAATCATGAGATTGATGTGAGAAAATAATGGTATGGTACGCACAAAAGTGACGGATGATGTCATCAACCATTTTTCGAACGACTCAACTTTTTCCCTCAAAGGAAGGAAATAAATAGCTTTTCGAGACACCTCTCCACTTGTACTCGTAACTTCAAAATTAGTTAATTACACCGGAAAAAAAAGAAGTTGATTTAACATTCTGGGTGTAAAAAAAGTGTGCGAGAACTCATGAAATGCTGAATTGCCCGCCACAGCAGTCAGTTTTGCATATTGGCATTGCTAAAGTAACTGCTGTAGCGGGTTCAGCATTTTTATAAGTTCTCGCAACCTTTTTTTACACCCGGAATGTTAAATCAACTTCACTTTTTTTTCGGTGTAATTTATTAAAACGATCAGGAACCACGCTATTTACGTCGTAGACCTAACTTAAAAGCTTTATAACGATCAAAAAGAAATTTTACAACACGCGCTGGAAAAAAACACATTGGATCTAGAGTCCAGACTGTTGAAAACATCGACAAGAAAAAATACTCTTGATTCAATCCGATTTAAGCTTAAATCAAGAACCAAGCCTCTTAATTTGAGCGGATTTCCTTAAGATTTAAGCTTAAATCTGATTGAATCAAGAGTCCTTTTTCTTGTCAATGTTTTCAAGAGTCTGGGCTCTAGATCCGATGTGTTTTTTGTTTCCAGTGCGCGCTACTCGTCCATTCACGCCAAAATTCCTAATTTTTCAGGTTTTCTGGCTTCAGCAGCTTGGCCACTTACTCCACGGTCGTTCTACCCCCGCGCCTGGGCCCGCTGACCGTCGACCACTGCACCCTGATTATGGGGGTTGTTTGGCTTGTATCCTCCCTATTCTGCTCTGCCTTCATCGACCGGGTCGGCAGGAAACCCCTCCTCTACTTCTCCAGCATCGGGTTCGTGGTCTCCATGCTGCCGACTGCCATCTGGTACTATCTCGATCGGGAGACATCCGCTGACGTCACCGGGGTCAACTGGGTCCCTTTCGCGGGGTTTATTGGTTTTGGGGTCACTTTGACTGGGGGGTTAGGCTCCATAGCCCCCATCTATAACGGCGAGCTGTTCCCCAGTCACTTGAAAGGCCAGGCCTCCGCGTTTACGACTATAGTTGGCGCCGCTTCCTCCGCCATTAGCATACGGATGTTTCCTTTTTTGGCCAGTCATGTGGGGTTGTATGCGAATTTCCTCGTTTACGCCGCGATGGGGCCTGTTACTGGGGTTTTCACGTATTTTTATGTGATCGAAACAAAGGGTAAATCGTTGCAGATGATACAAGCCGAGTTGAATGGAGAGGAGATTGGTGAACGAGAGGAAAATGGGAAGGAATGAAGCTGATCTTGACTTCTAGAGAGAATAGACTGATTTAGCTAGAAATTTAGGATCCTTAAATTTTCATTTTATTTGATTTTTCCTTGTTTCAAGAAAGGAGTTTTCCTTGAACTCAAATCCATGCGACGAAGTACAAATAAATAAATATATCACTCATTCTTCGACTTTATTTCTTTAACATTTATGGGGAAACTCACAACTTAGGATGGATCTATTGATGAGGTCATATCCCGAAAGAGACCGGATATTTCAAAACTAGAAAACACATTTTCTTGAAAATTGTTCGTGCTGTGCTAAAGATAATGATCCGTTGTAAACCAAATGTGAAGTTTCAAAAAATCGAACATAAGCTGAGAGAAAGAAACTTTTATTGCAACAAGGAAACTTACGTCGTCGCAACTGAATTTTACTGAGACACTCAGTCGTTTCCTTGAGACGACTGTCTCTCCCTCAGCACAATGAAAAAATGTCAAGAAAATCGTTTCCCTTTGTCAGCATTATCACACGGGGATTCATTACTCAAATATTTTTCGATGTACGGGTGAGAATTTTGTAAAGGAAACTGTAAGGTACTTACAAGAATGAGAAATTCTCGAGACTGGTTATTATTTGAGCAGAAATCTTACCTGCAACAAGATAATACAAGATTATTAATGTAATGAAGTGCTTATTAAGGCAAAAAAAGGTTAATAAAGGATGAATTGCGCGTAGTGTAATGTTGCCTGAAAAATTGAACATTTTTAAAAGAGTGTCATAGATAATGCAAGCTGAAATATTCTGCGTGAATTGGAGGCTAAAGCCTGGTAATCCCATTAAAATTAATCATTAAAACATGTTGATATAATTTTTTTTCCTTAAAAAAACAACTGGAGGATTAACACTTTATAAAAATAGACCATTAAAACCAGAATACAAAGTTCTACTGAGGAGAATTATCAATCGAAATTTCTTGACCAATCCCAAGAAAAAGGTGCATCACTACCACCTACTTTGTAAAAATGTACAGATTTTCACTTAAAACAAACATACGAACATTACGTCCATTATGAAAGTCATCATAAATTTATTTAGTCCTTGAAAATGCAGTCAAACTTGGTATAATTTTTGTCAAATCGTGGCATGACCCTTCTGCCGACTTATGATTTAAATTTTCATGAAATTGTATATAAGCTCTACCTGATCATTTTGGTTAGGAAGAGAGGTAACCAATTCCCTTAGTTCTTTACTCTCCTACGCACAACATGAAGAGAAACGTCCTTGTTGCGGTAATGAGCCTCGGGTAAGAATTCCAACTTCTAATTAATTCGAGCTCTTCCGATCGCTTACACAACATCACGATGGACACACGAAAGCGTCAGTATCGACGGGGCAGAGCTTAGCCCACTAATTCTCGATGGGTAAGTGGGAGCAATTGAGCTCAATCAGGGGAAAGAGGAGAGGGGGTTAACAACCGCGCGGAGAGGATGATAAAAATAAGCCGAGATGGGAGACAAAACTCAAATAAGACAATTACCGATCAGTCAATATTAGTATCCGAATGATTTCACATGTGTAACAGAACTTTCGCTGAGGCCCCATCATGTTGACACTCACATTCAGCGGAACGCAGCGGCAGCTGCTCGCGGCCTTTATCTGTAAGTTAACACATCACCGCCAATAATTGTGACACTTTTGCACGTAAGTTCCGTGAAAATAATCGAGGGATGAAGTGGTACCACAGGTAATTTTATGAGGTTCGCGTTATTTTTGTCTCCAACAAATGTAATAACAAGCTCTATTGTTTCAGGGTAAGTCCTCTGCACAAGGCTTTTAGATATCCCTCAGCACGTGACCATGCTTTTTCTGGCCTTCTTCTATCGATAACTATGCAGAAAACAGATCGTGATAAATATTCATCTATGTTTGTGTGCCTTCTTTTCAATAAAAGTGTTCGAAAACGGAGAAAATCGTTGAGGATATTTCCCCATACTTTCTATCAGGTTGAAATCAAAATTTGCAAACACATGGAATTTTATGACGTTTTTCTGGCTATTCCAAAACACTCGCAAATTAAGAAGTCCCAGATTTTGGGACTTACGGAGCGATTTTCTTTTAAAGCAATTTAAAAACCATAAGAGGAAATTTACGGCATAAAAATTTGATGTAACTTGGAAAAACTGTACATGATGTAGCCCTCGGCTGCAGCTTTAATGGTACTGATAAAGGGATAAAAGAAAGTTTAACAATTCTGAGGAAAAAAAACTGATTCCTGCCCTCGTAAATAACATAAAGAGGTTAAATCGGGTAAATGGACGAAGAAGAAAGGTATGAGTATTTCCGTCTTTGCTCCTCGTGGCACGGTTATTAGAATACTTTTCAAAATTCAATCTTCATAATAATTCACACGAAATGGACAATGCTTATGAGACCTTCAAGCTAGTTATCAATAAAGGTGAACATCAGTTGAATAAAAATAGATGAAAATTAATAAAACGGACGTTATATTATAATAATACATTTACATACTTCAAAACAATTCACAGCTCCTCGAGAGATTTTCAAAACAAAACAGCAGACACAACACTTTGATGCATCAAGTCCGCTCTTATGCTCGACGATTTTACAATCTAACCTCATTAAGTAGTTAAAAAAAGATGCGATAATACCAGTTGAGTACCCACAGGTACAGAATATGTTACATTTTAACAGATAATTCTAAGACCACACCACTGATAAAGATACTTTCTGGTGTACTTAGATGAGAAAAGTCTCGTATTTTACCTCTAACTGCTACTAATCCTTTGGAGAAATTAATTTGTGATACACGATTTGTGACGTTGCTCATCGATTTATGAAAATTCGTCGTTTCCCGGACGAAGGAACGCAACTCCATTCCAAGATTACAAAATTGATTCAAAAATTTCAATTTTTTACTTAAATGCACCTGTGCAAATTTTTTTTCAAAATTTGCCTACTTTTGGCATGAAATCAGAGGAAAAATCAGTATGCGAAATTCTCCTGGTGAAAATCCAATTTGCGAAGGGGGATTTGGCAACATTAAAATGCAGTTACGTTCTTTAATGGGGAAAACAACGTACTGTCTCAGATTCGAATTTACACATGGCATTCATCATTGGCATTACAGTAATACCTTCGACTCGTCTGAGCAAATCCTCCATTCCTTTTTCCAGCGACGATTTCCCTTTTCATGCTGGGCTCGATGATGGGCTGGCCGGCCCCGACGCTGAAACTCCTCCGGGAGCCGGACTCATCGCTGCACTTGACCCCCTCGGAGGAGGCGTGGGTGGTGAACGCCCTGTACTTCACGACGATACTGAGCCCGTTACCCAGCGGGGCACTCATGAACGCCATCGGCCGGAAGGCGACCATGCTCGCGTTGTGCGTCTTCCCCACCGCATCTTGGGCCCTCATCTATTTCGGTCGGACTGCCTCCGTCCTCTTGGCCGCTCGCGTCCTCGCCGGCTTCTGGGTCGGCGGCTGTCAGACGATCATGCCCATCTATATCGGCGAGATCGCTGAGCCGCGGGTACGAGGCATCGCCGGCACCTCTATCATGGTAAAAATTCCTGATATCATTTAATTATTTGTTCGGTTGGTTTCTCGCGTCACACGCATACGTGCTCAGCGGGCTGATTGTTGAAATTGATGGACAAAGAAGATATAGGGAGTATGGAGCGATCTTATTGGTAAATGAGTAGTTCCCATAGACTAAGGGAGAGAATTCTGAACTAACTATCAGGTCTCCCGTGCTGTCGTTAGTTAGTCTATTACCTACCACCTTTGTCCATTGCAACCAGCGCGGCTTCCACCAGTAGGATCCCTCCATATCCCTTTGGTCTATTTTTGTCTATTGCTTTGTCTACCAATTTCAAAAATCGGCCCGCAAGTGGTTAAAGCTCACTGAACGCCTCCCCCTCCAAAAAAAGCTGTCCAAACACCACTAAAATTGAAAGTATCCGAAAAGAACTATGAGCAAACGGATTAAATCTAATAAAGGTACCACGTGAATAGATGTGCGTGCTTTACAGTTGGACTACATGCAACTGGGAGCTACAATCCCTGGTTCGGATCAAGAACAACGTACGTGCCATTGGTTTCCCTATGCACATAAGTGTTTCTACGGATGGGCCAGAAATTGTAGTTCCTATTTTGAAAATATAGTCCGGTTCTAATTGCTTACATGCATCTGCACGCAGTTCCTGCAAGATAAATACGTTAAATTCAAAAGAGCCGAAAATAAAAGAAAAAACGAATTATTTCAATAAAGTTAAGTCACAAATTATGAGACTATCAGTAGATTCTTTGGGAAAAATAGGCAGATGTGCGTTTCGGTGTAGCAATACTCCAGAAAACTCTATAAAAGCGATCGATATGTATTTACGTTGATAAAAAATTAACTGAACCTATTGAATTCTTGCGTCTAAAACCAGCAAGGAGGATTCTCGTAATTTCTTTGACATTAAGAGTTAAATTCCAGAAATTGATCTCGTCATAATACTTCCTCTTATTGAAGCTAATTCCGAATAAATTATGGTTTCAACAGGTCTCACACTCAGCCCTTTGACTTCCGACAGGTGAACGCGTTCCTGGGGACGATTTTCGTCTTCATCGTTGGCCCCTACGTTTCGGTTCCAACGATGGCAGTGATGAACGGGGTGATTCCTCCGGTCTTCTTCCTCCTCTTCTCATTTTGCCCGGAGTCGCCCTACTACTACGTCATGCGGGGGCGCCACGCGGATGCGGCGAGAACCCTGGCCTGGCTCCGAGGAGGGGCGCCCATCGAGAGTGAGCTGACCTCCATACAGACCTCCATACAGACCTGCATAGAGAGGGAGGCCAGGGCCGGCCAAGGCTACTTCAATAAAATGCTAAGCATCGTCACCGTCCCCGCAAATCGGAAGGCCTTCTTCATCGTCGAGTTCATGAACTTCTTGCAGAGGTATGTTTCACTCTGTTCATCACTTTTAAACAAGTATGACAAAACTTGCAGCTAGCCAGCTGCATGCTTTTTTGAAAGAACTTACGGGACTCAATACAATGTTTAGATTAGAGTGAGGCACTATGGTGCTTGCAAAATGCAAAGGCGACGTTTCCTGCGTATTCGCGCTGATAAAACAATGCGCCCTGTCATTTATCTAATGTTTTCTCAAGAGCTAGGAGTTAGTGGGTCCGGACGGTTCCGACGAACCTAAAAATTCTGCCCCAAAAAGGTGATTTTAGACATCTAAACCAGTAGACCTCCCTTCTAGTTGAGAAATATTGATCTTAGATCCTTAGAATAAGCAATTTCTGCCTACATCACTGACTGGTTTTTGCATTAATTGGGGTTTCATGAATATACAGGTCTCTGAAACTCCAAATTTTCATTTATCACCACTGGTTCAATTTAGAGATTTACTGGACCGATTTCAACAAATTTTACTACTTTCGGAAGGTGATAACCTATGGATGAGCAAATTTCCTTTAAACTTTTGATATAAGACTAATACTATTTTTCCTAATGCTACGTATGGTTACTTGATGAAGTTGTGATTTGTCTATGTTGACAATGTAATATTTTTTTTTTTTTTTTCTTGCCATGTTCCGTTCTTGAAACCCATCGGACCAATTTTTATGATTTTTGAAGACATCTCGGATTATTTAGAACATCCTTATTCGCTTAATCCATACATACATCAAATCTGCTTTCAAAGCACTCTCTACCGCTCTGCGACGCTCAACCGCCACTTAATCAACTTAATCCACGCTGTCTGATTTTCCAGGTTTTCCGGGTTCAGCTGCCTGAGCGCTTTCTCGACCGTCATCCTGCCGGCCCACGCCGGCCCCTTGACCGCCGACCAGTGCACCCTCCTCCTGGGCGCCGCCTGGCTCATCTCCTCCCTCTGCTGCTCGGCCCTGATCGACCGACTCGGTCGCAAGCCCCTCCTCTACTTCTCCAGCCTCGGCATCCTGGTCTCCATGCTCCCGACGGCCGTCTGGTACTACCTCGACCGCGAGACCTCCACTGACGTCCGCGAGGTCGAGTGGGTCCCCTTCGCCGGGTTCCTCCTCTTCGGCCTCACCTTCTCCGCCGGTCTCGGCTCCATCGGCCCCGCCATCGCCGGCGAGATGTTCCCCAGCCACCTCAAGGGCCAGGCCTCGGCCCTGACCACCATCACGGCCGCCGCGTCGTCGACGCTCAGTATCGCGCTGTTCTCTGCCTTGGATGCTCGCGTCGGGATGTACGCCAATTTCTTGATATTCGCCGCCGTTGGGCCTGTCAGTGGGGTCTTCACGTATTTCTGCGTCATCGAGACGAAGGGGAAATCGTTGCAGATGATCCAGGCTGAGTTGAACGGCGAGAAAGTTGAGAAGCCAGAGAAAAATGGCAAGATATGAAAAGATACGCAGTAAGGAATAAGACGTCGAATGGGACCTTCCAAAGTGCAAAACCACGTATGTCGGTTTGCGGCGTTGCAGACTTCCTGTTATACTTTATTGGACAACTGGACGTATTTCTGTCAAACGGAACTAAGCGCCAATTTGAGTTCCTTTTGAGGAATTTAAAATGCCGGATAGCGCGTTCTGTCAAACAGAACTAAGCGCCATGGAAAAGCATTGCAAGTATAGGGTGGAATGAACCCGTCGCCCGGCTCCGCCGCCAATCCAAGCCCTCCTCTACCTTCCTCCCCCGATGGCGCTTAGTTCCGTTTGGCAGAAATTCGTCCAACTAGTCAACTTATTGTTTTGAAAAATTCCTTGACTTTTCTTTGGTATTGGTAGAATATTCCGTAAAAATTTTAAACTATATAGTTGACTTGTTTCTCTCCGAAAAAAATAGAATAGGACCAGAGATTTTGAAACACAGCAATTAAGATACGTGGTTTTGCACTTAATCGATTTGTAACATGTGTCTTCGAGTTTGACGTTCTACGAGATCGCTTTCAAGCTTTTGAGTTTCCTCTTTCTACGTCTCGTTCATTATTAGTAATAAGAATCCTAGATATAAACTGATAGCATAAACTTGGCGAGGGGTTCACTCAGACTGCTTGCTCTTCAAATTTCTAATTTCCGTCACTGTAGGAAAAGCCATGAAAAACAAGCGCTGTCAGTTCAGTATTAGTATTACTTTTTGAGCATCCTGTGCCAACACCCATTATCGCTGGGCGGTCAAACTCTCGAAGGGTCAAAAACTGGGACTTAATTCATCCATGACACCATTAAAACGAGCAATGACCGTAAAAGAGAGGCCGATAAGGGCTGGAAGTGACACTCGACAGAAAATTATGGCGGCCTTGTTTCATGAGCACCATCGAAAAAGCTTCAATATTTGGCGGTGTGGGAGCCTCAGTATATTAGCCAGCAGGATATTATATAGCAGGCTTGCCGTAGAACTGAGAACATCACCAGGCAGTTTAACAGCCTCTCGACTAAATCTTAAAGTGGGCCGAAAATAACAGACTTGGATCCGGATAAGGCAGAATGATTTCATTGAGACGCAAAAGAATGATTTGAATAAGAAATTAAATAATGTGAACAGAACTAATCGGCTGGACTTTACGAAAGGAATGAACCAATATTGATATAATTATAAGCACTTATAAAGCCTCAGTTGAGGCTTTTAGAAGATAATAACTTCAAGAAGATGCTAACACTTGGGACTTTGAGCTTTAGTAACCATGAGTTGGAGCTGTAATCATACTTTGAAATATCTTAATTGTACTCGTAATTAAGACATGTTACGTCGACATTTTGAGAATATTTATGATTTTGGAGGTTTGTGAGACATACGGAGGGGAGATGATACGACGGCTCGCATATTTCTGAGCCCAAATTAGGGAGAACAGCGAAAAATATTTGACGAGGTAATGTGTAGAAAATCTTTTTCAGCAATTTACAACAAAGTCAAGGAAAAATCATTGAACATTTATTCCTAGGGGAGAGAAATTACGCGGGAGCTTAGTTAAAATTATTTCACTAAGAAATAAGCGATTTTTGGTTGAACTGTGTCCGAACCGCCTTTGGTGGCAATGTAAAATAAGTAAATTGACTTCCCCCGTTAGATTAGTCCAACATTTTGTTTCAAAATCATACTTCAAGAACATGCCCTAGTCCTATTGCACTCGTTAGTCGTCACAACTATGAAAAATACGGCAGTGTAAATAAAACAAATTAAAAAAAAGAGAAAAAAAACAGATTTTTTTATCTTTTAAAAAGTGTTTTCAATGATTATTTTCCGACGACACAAAAATAATCAACAAACAAATCTTTTTTTACGCTGAAGTTCGATTCGAAGTTCCGACGAATGCAGAGAAGAAACGTATCGGACGGTTCTGCATCGAGTTAATTGTCCTTGAATCTGCTCTGAGTTTCTCCTTACTATTGAATGGGCGGTGTAAGTCGGCTGTGAATGGATTTCAAAGTCCAGACTCTTGAAAACATTGACACGAAAAAATACTCTTGATTCAATCAGATTTAGGCTTAAATCAAAAGGAAATCCGCTCAAATTAAGGGGCTTGGTTTTTGATTTAAGCAAAAATCCGATTGAATCAAGAGTATTTTTTCTTGTCGATGTTTTCAAGAGTCTGGACTCTAGATCCAATGTGTTTTTTTTTTTTTCTCCAGTGCATATCAATTTGTATTTTTGCAAAATTCTTGTCGAAAAAGTCTTAAATTATTGGGTTCCTCTTTCCGACGGATGCAGAGCCACGAGTGGAGACTACCGGGAGGCTGTAGAATTTCAGAGAGCGAGTGTTTTGCGGGCGTGTTTAAACGGAGATTTCTCCGGGAAATTCGAAGGTAAGTCGGAGGTATAAACTGCGGCGCTCGATGCGAAAGTTTCCCAGCGACCTCGTCTCGATGGAGGCTTTCAGGCTCCTTCCGCTCCTTCCATTTCCTCCGAATAATTGTTCATTTGTGAGTAATGCGCCGTTCACGAAATAATCGTAAACTTCCATACTCGGCGAGCGGCGCTGCCGGTTCCAGTCCGCCCGGAAAATCCCCCGCGGAAAAGCGGAGCCGAAATATGACGGAGATCCTCCACTACCTATCCGAGCATCGTTAACACTTGTTCCTATGCGGCGATTTTCAGCGCCCGTAGTAAAATGCGCGCGCTTTTGCCGGGTGGAAATTTTACGAAAACACTGAAAAACTAGCTCCCCTAAATTTTAGCGCACTCCAAAATCGTTTGAGGTGCATAAGGAGACCATAGATATGGTCTTCTCTGCAAATTTTGAATGAAATCGAACAGATAGATTCTGAGATATCGCTGTAGACAGATTTGGGGGACGCCGGACGGACGGACACACATTTTTTCAAGAATGGTTATTTTGACTCTAGGGACCTTAAAACGTCTAAAAATGATGAAATTTCAACTTTTTTCCCCTTGGAGGATGACAATACTTCCTCTACCATAGGGTAGCGAGAAAGTAAAAATTTACGGGCTATACAGACATACAGTCCGTTCCGGGTCTTATTTTGACTTCCTCGGTGCACATATTTCTTCCGAAGTAAATCGTTCAACAGACCGAGTGAAACTCCTATCATACAGAAGTTTTTGCGCGAGGGCTTTCAGGGATAATCTCGACGCTGTTTTCAGGAGAGATCCCCGAGCGAATCGGCAACGCGCTCCTGAACTGCAGTCGTTAAATCACAACGCTCATTTTAATTTTTTTATGGTATACAAACGAGGGAATAAAGTAAATTATCTCGAAATATAAAGAAATAAAAACATCGTTTCCTCAACGGGGGCGTTGCAGCAATTTCAGAATCTCGGAGATTGAAAAGTTTCCTGCCTTAATCCCGTTCCGGCGCGGCAGGATTTTAAAGGAACGAGCATATTTCTATCCGCCTAGTGTGGAAGTTGAACTTTCTAGCCCTCCCGCTTGGATTCTCCGGCCGCATGCCGATGGATCCCCGAAGGATACTCTCGCAATCCCATTTTTCCGAAGGTGAGAGTTCTGGCTTTGGGCTTGAAAATTTCATGCCGCCATTGTAAGGTTCCATTTGCATAAGAAAGAATAGATCTGGTGTTTTTTTTTTTTTTTTTTTTTTTTTTTTTTTTTTTTTTTTTTTTTTTTTNTTTTTTTTTTTTTTTTTTTTTTTTTTTTTTTTTTTTCTTTTTTTTTTTTTCAAGTTTAGTACAGTGTTGTGGCGTCTTTGGCGATATATCAATTGATCTGTCATTTAAACCTATGGAAAAGGATCGATGGACAGGGTGTTTGCAACGAACACTGGAAAAAAAAGCACATTGGATCTAGAGTCCAGACTCTTGAAAACATTGACAAGAAAAAGGACTCTTGATTCAATCAGATTTAAGCTTAAATCAAAAGGAAATCCGCTCAAATTAAGAGGCTTGGTTCTTAATTTAAGCTTAAATCTGATTGAATCAAGAGTATTTTTTCAAGTCGATGTTTTTAAGAGTCTGGACTCTAGATCCAATGTGTTTTTTTCCCAGTGTAAGGTTCCATTTGCATGAGGAGGAATAGACGTGGTTGTTTTTTTCAACTTTCGTACAGTGGCGTGGCGTTTTTTTTCGATGTATCAATTGATCTGCCTTGTAAACCTATGGAAAAGGATCGATAGACAGGGTTAACTTTAATAATCGATTCTTTACCACAGTTTCAAATGGAGAAATATCGACAATCGACCAGTAATGCCTCCGCCGCTGCTTCAGTAGCGTACTGATTGACGGAGTTCTCAGTTATTGAACGTAATTTCCATTACTTTTGCCGTTCATCTATACAAACGCGGTAAAAGTATCGGGCACCCAAGGAGTGTTTAATATTACATATGATTGAGGAGACTAAAAAATACGTATTGATCGTTTACAAGTCAAGCCGTCAATCCACGGATTTTACCTTTTTTACCGACATTGGCAAGGAAACTTAGATGGTTTTGTCTAGATACCGGATACAATGGACCACATTTTACAATAATAAATTACCGTTTTTGGCTCATTTTACAACAACATGGCTACAATGTGTTCTCTATGCAAATACTTGCTTAGATGGATGAGCGAAGAATAGTAGTTCCTAATTACAAAACGTATATTGATATTATACCAATTATAATACAATTATTATATAATACAAATATTTATTTACAATTTTTTGTACAGTGATTGGAGGAAAAGTAGTGTCTCTTGTGTCTCTAATAGATAGCTTTAACCGTACCATATAATCATTGGCTCCGATATAATTAAGAAAATTTCACTATTTCGACTCTCAAATATGAGTGAGGATGCTCGAATTTGAACGGAAAGCTCACTTTTTTACGCCTCCGCAGGATTCATCTTGGAGATGCAACTATTTCGACTCAGTTGACATGCGCGTTGCTTGACTCCCAGTTGAAGGCGATATCGGTGTTCCTCAACGATACATCAGGTCCTCCATGCAATAAACCCCTCTATTACTGAAGGGGACGAAATCATACGCCCTACCAGTTCGCTTTAGCCAAAAATTTACTTTGATCTTGATTTGCCACTGTAGAACGCCTCGAACTTCCGGGTGGCAAAAATAGCTTTCCTCAATTTACCTGTCATTCTCACTTGTCTTGCCGATTTCAGTAACACATGAAATATCCTTTGCTAATGTTCTTAGGGAGATTACATTTTGCTTACTAATGATCACAGACCCTTCAAGCAAATAATGCTGAAAATATGCAATCATAAAATACAAGATT